GCGTGCGTGCATGCGTGCGTGTGTGCACGCTGTCGTGTACAGGACGCGTCGGAATCCGTAAGACCGTGGGCAAATCAGTTTGGAATACCAAGGAGGGCTGCAGCACAGGTACGGCAATGACTGAATGACTCAGCGGCAGGGCTGGGCAAGCTTCGCAGGTGGAATGTAGGGTGTTTTTTCGGCGGCACGAGGTTTCGTCTTAGAAGACAGGGTTCAATCCAAGCCCATGCTGAACAGACTGAACCCTGTCGTGCACTGGCAGATCTCGACCTACATCCGAGTCGGAACTGGGACATGAAAGCAGACTGTAACAGTCCAGGGTCTAGCGCGGATTCTGCAGGATTAACGATTGCAGCGCTCAAAGGCATAGACGGCACGGGTCTCTATGCGTTGCAGCCAATACGAGCGGAGAGAGCTTAGCCTAGGACATGGGTAGCCTACGTAGCAACGCATCCCATCCTTTTTCGGCGAGTCCAACTTTGCATGCTGCCGCACGTCATCAAGCAGCAGAAGTCTAGGCGATGCTCGCGATGTGTAAGCATGGTATCATTATGCCAATACTTTGGAGCACCTGTGGCAGTTTGGGGGAATCAGCAACCACAAGTTCAGACTTGTTTCGACCAGAACCGTGAGCCGGAGGGCGATGGCAGCTACAGCCACGACACGCCCAGCGAAGCCGAGGTTCAACAACAATGTTAAGTCAAAAACTGGGTGCACCGACTCGTTGCAGTGAAGAGCTTCGGAGTGAACCCGTAACCAGCGCATCTAACAGTGAGACACAGTCTATTCTAGTTTGCCGCACGTGATGAGCGACCAGTGTTCACAGGAGAGTGGCATCAGAGTGGAAGGATGTTCTTTGTGCTGTACCGCAACAGCTGAGTTGATGAGGCGCAAGCTGGACACGGCTCAAAGAGAAGGCATTGAACAGCTGCTGGTGGCTGAGCAGCAGCTCCGCACACGAGTGTACATACAGCCTGTAGCTGCAGCTTGCATTACTTGCATCCCTTTGCGTCACATTTTTGCTTTGCGCACTGGTATTCTACAGTGGGCATTGCCTTGATCTCAGGAGCATGACAAGCGCCATTTGCTCAAAGTCCGAGACTTGCAAAGCAAGTCACAAGCACTGCTGAAGCCCGAGGACATTCAGGCAAAGAGTTGGAGAAACTTGCTGGGACAATTGAGACGGCACTCGCGCTTACAGCTGCAAGAGGGGTCCCAAACAGCCAAGAAAGCCGCTTATTTTGTCCGCTTTCCAAGCTTTGGTCGAATATCCAGGATTTCCAGAGAACGTGACCCAATCTGGCCACGGTGCTTACACAAGGGTCAGTGGGTGAGCACAGGCATAGGCGGCTCTCTTCGATGTTCTATCGTACTGTATGGTGTTTGTGAAGAGAGCAGCTTGCCAGGTAGTTCTCTACGATGTGTACTCGGTCGACAGCTTCGCTGCATGCTGTGTTGCTCGCAAATTCTTGGGACTCGGTGTGCACTATGAAGGAGCAATGCTGAGCTTGTGAAGACATCTCCATGGGAACCAAGAAGACATGCTTGCAGCTGACTCTTTTTTGTTGTAGCAGTCTCAGCCAAGGCCGTGAATTCCACTAGCGTCCCTAGGTCCGGGTTCAGAAAGGTGAAGAGTCTCATCAATCGTGCCCTGCAAAAGCAGAAGCTTGACCCAGCCTGTGAGCTGATGCCAACATTTGGTGCGGCACCTCGTGGGAGTTTGGTTGGGTTTCAACAAACGTCCAAAGCTCGACTAGCAGACATCACCTGATTCGAAGACTTCGGCGGCGGGGACGACGTCAGTAACAAATTACAGTACCGCTAGCACGGCAACGACGACAACAGTAGCAGTTCTTGCTGTAAGGTAGCTGAGACCCACGACGAGCGGAGTTAATGTGTTGGTGTCTCCCCCTTAGCCGATACATGTCCACGTTCTTCGCGACTGCTGCAAACAAACACCCCTCCCTCAGAATAGGTGGATGGGGGTGTGGGTGGCTGTCGGTGCCACCTATTTTAAATCGGTGGCGCGACCTATTTTGGAAGACTGACCACGAGCAAATAATAGGTGGCAGATATAGGCTTTTGGGTTTGCAGGCTTCAACCAATTAAGCTCGGGTGGTTGCTTGCTTAGCTTCACGGCTTTGTGCAAAGACAGTTCTTCTTGGATACCCAACGATTCCATCGATTCCGCACCGTAATAGTAGCAGGTGTGCACATCCAAAGGACATCAGATGCACAAAAAGTCGTTTCATTTGCAACATACCCTAGACCCTGCACTTTCTGCACCAATGATTGAAGTCCTGCATGTGTTGGACTCGACTTCTCCGATGCATTGCTCACGTCATTGATGTACATTTCCTTTGAACCGAGTCTGTCCAACAAGTAGCATTTCTCCTCCTGCTTTCACGTCAGCGCTGGGAGCAATCAAAAGACAGTACTGTGTAGGTGGTACATCGAGTGTCCTACTACGTTAAAGTCTTGAAGACAGTACGTAGACAACTGGTTCGCGTATGTCGAGCAGTGGCAGTTCCATGCCTTTCGACGAAGTACTTCCCCAAGCTTCTCATCACCTGGCTCACTTTATTTGTGCATTGCTAGTGGACTCTGTGCTTGGCACCATTTCGGAGTCCATTATGATGCTTCAATGATCACCGTTGCTGATTCCCAGGCACTAAAGTCAGCAGACGAGTGTTGTCCCCACTTTTTGACAGCTGTGCTATGGAGGAGTCACACGTGGGTCTTGCGTCCAGCACTTGAGCCTGGATGCTGAAGGATTGGATGGAAAGGCCGATAAGAGCTGTTGGGCAATGTCAAGTAGCTCTGCAGGGGCCATGAAATGGAGCAATCAACAGAACCAGTTTATGGGTCTCACGGCTCGCCAGAAGTATTGACCAGGCGGTCGCACTGCTGGGATTGTGCTGGAAAGTGGTGGACATTCTAGACCTGTGCCTTGGAGCTACCTGATTCCATGCTGAAAGTGTTTGCTCCTAGCTGAGCTCTTTTTCACTGTGAATCTTGCGATGGCATTCCTTCCACATGTTGACTGCATGTTCAAGCAACCGGACGTTCTTTTGCTCAAGTGACTTGCGTCGGCGAGTGGGGCGTGGAGCGCAGACATCCCTTGGAGTCCCGGCAGTGATTCGGACCCAGCAACGTACACAAAGCGGCGGACGCGCCCGAATTGCACAACACATGCCGAGACCATGCCCATTCAGCGGAAGCTAAGGATGCATGCAACGTCCTGCTTGGCTACAGGCAGTGCCTAATACGGATTTAAGTTTCAAGACATCTTTGTCTTAGATTTTGTGGAATTGGACTGGGAGGAGTTAGAACATTCCGCAGCAGGTCGTCTTGCGAGCCGCTACCCGACCGCCCAAACACAAGACTGTTTGTTGGGGGTATATGCTGGGGTCAGTACTCCTCTGACCAGGGGAAGAACTTGCAAACAGAGGAGGATGAGACGCTCAGATGCACGGATGCTGAGACCACTGCAAGTTCAAAGAGAGTGCGTGCTCAGCTTCCTCAGCATGTGGCAGCTCAGGATCTTTTTGTCTCTTCTGGAGTCCTGGTGGCAACCACTCGTGTGGCTTTCAATATCTTCGGATTATTTTTAGAGGGCGTAGATGCTACAACGGCAAGGGTGGTAGAATAGGTTGTGGCTTGCTTTTGCTGGCTGCCTGCAGAGAGCTGAAGAAACTAGCTGTGCTTCATAACTTGAACTGCTCCCATGCCTTTCCTGACAAGCACACGCGCGAGTGAGGTGTAGCTTGTCCATGCTTGTCCGTCAAGTCTACACATGCGTGTCGAAGATCTATCGGCGAAGCAGGATCGTCTACGAGAGGAGCATGAGCTCCAAGTGAACAATTTGAGCAGCAAGATCGGTGAGTTGCAAAAGCGACTCGACACCTCAGGCCACTGATCAGCAGCTAGTGTGGCTTCAGCCCGTGTCTTCGCTCATTGCAGCCACTGTCGATGCAGCCTTCGCTCAGGGCCTTCCAGGCATGAGGATGAGGGCCAAACAGGCAGCCCGGAAGCATCCGATACCTCAGTGAAGCTTTACACAGGCTCTCATTGCATTCATCACACCGTTTGGCGTGCCTGAGGGAAGACCTCATTAAGGCACCAATTCCGTCGAGCTGGGCCTGGAAGAAGACAAAGACAAAGCTGCGGGGTGAAACGAGTGGATCATGGCCTGTCTGTTGTTGATAAGGGGTTGATGCCGAGTATGTAGGCAAGGCTCGGCCAGGTGCCAGCAGACGTCAGAGGTTTCGCCTTCTTCGGCACAGGTTTGGAAACTGTGAGTGAACCAGATAGGGCCGATAGCCGGCCGGAGGGGGAGTAGGAGTAGGAATAGGAGCAACAGTACTCCAGGTCGCAGTAGTCAGTGGTAGTGGTAGCGGTAGACTCAGTAGTTGTTTGAAGGAGTAGCAGTTGTCCTCGGGTTCTTGTTTGCAAGAAGCCCGCCCCCTCTTTGTCCCGTTGTGTTGAGACAGCCGGACTGCAGGAATACACTCTCGAGACACAACTAAAGCACCTTATCATATCTCGCGATGAATTGCAAACAATCGCGAAATTCAGCCCATTCCAGCATGCCACGTCTCCATTCTGAGGCTGAAGGCGATGGCATGCACGCCCTGAGAAGCGGTGGAGGAGGATCGCCGAAGCTACAGCGGAAGCAAACCAATTCGCAGTTACCAGGACAGCAAGTGGCTGAGAATTCTCGAGTCTTTGCGTAAAGGTGGTGCCCGACATTTGTAGAGGGCTCAGCGGCCCCTTGTGGGCGCCGCAGTCGTTGCCTGAAACTTCAGTTTTTGCGGACCAAGCCACGGCACGCACAGCGGCTGACAAAGCACCTGCAATCTTCCATCGATCATGCTCGCCAGTTGTGAGCCCGGCAAAAATCACGCAGCCCTAAGCTTCCCAAACGCATGAGGGCATAAGCCGAAAGTAGTTAAATTAATGGCAAGGAAGTTCACCGAGCAAAGCCTTGGTTGCCTGCTGTTTCTTTGTGGGAGCATCATCTTCCGTCAGGGCCCTCACAAACCAGTTGAGGTTCACCCACCTGGGCATCCACACCCATACAGATGGATGGCGAGACGCCCCTGGCAACTTCTTTCATCGCTACCGCGGCTTTGTGTGCCCTGGTATGCCAAGACGACATTCCGCTTCACACGAGCAGGGGACTGAATCTTTAGACAGGAGATGGAAGTTGTTTGTTCGCGAAGGTCAAGCGCCCTGTTCGAGACTTCTTTTGCCAGCTTGATCGTCACCTGGCAGCGATTGAAGACTGTGCCTGTGAGCTCAGAAATTACGCACACAACGACCGCGCACGTGGTCAGGGTATGTTAGGGTTGCGGATCGCTTGTCCTCAGTCCTAACATGTCCTAAGTTACCCATGAGCGAGGTGTGCTTCCAAGGCCAAAGTACTGCATGCACATTCGGGTGTTTGATTTTCAGTGCCGACATTGGTGGCAAGAATGTGCCCGTGACCCAAACCGCGAAAGTCATCTGATGTCGTGCCACGACGTCACAAGTACATTTCCGAAACAGCTGTGTTTGCTCCTCATTCGGGCGGACTGTGCAATGCCTGGCGGTTGGAAGTATAGCAGCACAGCGCTATCCCGACAAGAGTGGACGACACGATCTGATCATATTTCATTTGTCCTCCAGCGCAGCTCCTGGTAAGTGCAGCGAATCGAAAGACTACCTGACTAGCCGGTCTGTGGCATAGCGTGTGCCTTTGCTACCTCGGGATGCATTTCCCGGTTGGGTTTCCAGTTCGACGCATCACGACTTCCACGCACGTGAAGCCTTCAGTTTCAGCCTGCATCATTTGGGGAATGCCGACTTCGTGTTTCCCATGTGGTCCTTGGATCAACCGGCTGTGCTGCAAACCTTGGAAGACCAAGCAAGGTGTTCAACGCACTGGTCATGGCTGCTGACGTTCAAGTCATAGGCCAGGGCTGTCCAGACACTGCTGTACTAGCCGCTAGCCGAACAGTCGGAGCCCGTGGCTAAGATGATTTGCCCCAGAACCGCCAGGTATCGACATTGGAGCAGACCTTGCGTATGCGGCGTATATGCCAACATCTCTGACTGCACCATGGGCACGGCCCATGTTTGAGTATTTTGACTTTGGGCTGCAAGCCAGGGAGTTAAACGGGTTAGGAAATTGTCGTTGAATGGCTGGGTTGGCTGCAGCGACTCGGCTGGCGCGGTGTTGCAGGCGTTGCTTTGTGCTGGAGGGGACGAGAACAGGACGCAGTTTTGTGTGAAAACTTAGTGTGTGTTTTGAAGTCGCTTTTTCGGCAGTGGCCTTCATGCCTGTGGCAGGGCTTATAGAGCGATTTGCACATACCTCGGCCAAATATGGAAGGCTTGCTTGCTTCCTTCAAAGTAGAACTCTTCTTACGCAGGGTTTTGGCCCTGGCTTGGGATCGTCTACCGGTCTGTCCTCGCGACTTCTGTGATGCTCTACGACTTCTGTCCCAGGTGCCGCCTAGTCAACGTGGAGGATAAACCCACTCGGCGTCATGCAACACGCCCATTATCACTGCATCTCGTGCCGCCGGAACACTTATTTGCGGCATCTAGAGACAGCTTTAGAAAAAACGCGAAAGCGCCGAAAAGCGAAGATGCAACGAGCGCTGGGCTGAGCCTGGGAGGAGAGACCCTCGGAGCCGAAGGCCCCCATCAGGCACCACTCAAAACACTTGTCCTTGTCTGGGCAACCCTGAATGAAGTCTTTGCAGCCACGCCTTTGCGAACCTTTAGCTTAGAATCTGAATTGCAATTAGTTGTTGGCATCCACCAGATTGGCCCGACTTAGGAGTGGTTCTTTGGCATTGTGCCTCGGACTGCCCATGTGATTGTCTTGGCAGGGTAAACACAGATTCACGGCCGCTACAGCCCTGGGCCCTCAGTCTTGTAACAGGCTAAGCCTAAGCCACATCGCTACTGAAACCATGCTGGCCGCAAGTTTCAGCAGCTTTTCGCAGTGTTCAGTGGGTCCTGAGCTGGTACTGAGGCATTCACAGTTGAGATAGTAATGAAGTTCACTGCATTCGGCCTGGACTTCGTGAAAGACCTCTGGAACTGGATAGACACATTCATTGCATCTTGGCCTGGAAGAAAGCTCGAAATTATATGTCTGGAATGAATGGGCAACACATGTGAAGTCCTTGTAGCAGTTTCGGTAGCCCCACTTCTCGCATTTCATTTCATTGTAGATACTCGCACATTTCGAAATCGCTGTGTCTTTCGTCGCCACTGACAGGTGACTGAGTCCGTGAATGAGAGAGAGAGAGAGAGAGGGGGGGAACTGTACTTCCCCTCCCATAACCCTGCCGAAAGGAAAGAAAGAGAGAGAGCTTGTTGGGGGGGCCGCCACAAAGAGCGAGCTTGGGGATCGCTTTGCCACGGGGCTCGAGGCCGCAGCTTGCGGCCCTACTGTTCCCCCCCCTTTTTTTGCCTCGAGCCCTGCAGAAGACCTTGAGCCTGGGGGACACGACACCGTATCGTAGCTAGAGGTAGGCCTGCTGACTTCGTCGTGTGTCCTACAGGCCCTAGTGTACCAGGCTGCTAGTTTCACGTAACATAGGGGGACATCAAGGAAGTGTATATACAGCTCGACACGTGGGGGTAGCACTGTTTGTCTGCAGAATGTCCCCAAGAAGTACCGTCTTGTAGGGAGTGCCAAGTCTGGAGCCGCAGAGGGGACGAGGAGGATGTGAACTAGTTGTTTCGTTGTAAGTTCATGACGTGTGCTGTTGTTACGCGAGTGCTCCTCTGCATGGGGGCTCTACCGACTAGACACCCAAGCAAGCCCCTTGGTTGCCCATAGGGGGCGTGGAGATGAGGCCGGGCTGCGGGTTGGGGGTGCTTAGCGTACAGGGTCGGGGGCTTGCTGTTTGGGTTCTGTCGCAGACTTCGTACTCTTGTGCAGCGGTCTTTACTAACCCCAAAGACTCTCACTCAATAAAACAGTGGGTGAGGGGGCGGGCCGAAGGCCTGAGGGTCGCAGCAGCGGCCCCTAAGCCCGGCAGAAAGAAAGAAAGAGTAGCCATTTTGGTTCAAGCCGCGAGTGGTTCAAGAGAGCTGTGGCCGCTCTGCCCCTTCTCTTCTCTTTCTCTCCTTGTCTTTTGCTTCCTAGGGAGGCTTCAGCACTCTCCAAACCCGGCCGCTTGTGTAGCAGGGGAAAATCTCTCATTGCCCTCCCTGCCGCGATTGCAGCTCTACGACAGGGGCATCTTTGCGCACTTGATCGTGTGGGTCCACCGGGGGGAGATCGTCACGGTCGAAGCCGATCGTGATCAATCGCCGAGGCGAGCGGAGGACACTAAGACCCGCTACCACATTGCATTCGGCGAGCCTTTGCCGTCTTCTTGCCCCGGGGAGAGATTCAGGTCATGAACTTTGTGTTCGGTGTGCAACGTGACACTTCGGCCAGGACATCAAGAATAAATCCTTTGCCCACTATGGAGGGGGACACCCCTGTGTGTCTCCGCTGCAAAAAAGGGGTCATCGTACCATGAGGGTCATACCCGCTCCGACCCAAACTGTGCCCTTCATGGTTGCGAAAGCTCAGATGGCTCCTTCCTACGCAAAAGGAGAATTGAGGATGCAGTGCAGGATGCTCTACTTCGGGGAGTGGACACCTCGACACAGGCCAGTTCATCGGGGGGGAACCTTGCCACGAACGACCCATGCCTGAAGTGCCTCAAAGGGGAGAGCCACCACAGACACAACCCCGCTGCCGACAACCATTCTTCGGGTGGAAACCCCTACGCCGGCAAAGGCGAGACAACTCATGCTCGAGCAGGAAATCGCCCTAGCCCAGGACGAGGCCCGGAGTGCAGCACGCCCCCCCCCCCTCCCCCCCCTCGCCCCACCCCCCACCACTAAAGCGAGGAAGCGATGCAAACACCGACATGAAGCCCGTGACCCACCACCACAGGAGGCAACTCCTGCTGAGCATGACGAGGAGGACTCCGACGACCAGCTCGACGACCCGCTTCAGGAACTCTTTGGCATTGCAAGCAAGCCAGATGCGAGGCGCCTACCCGGCGATGGCTAGCCTACGTCAGCCGCGCCGACTACCAGAGCGACGACAGAGGATCCACCGTCCCCAGAACAACCAGAGTAGCAGCGGGCAGCACCGGACGACGACCCCACGTTCAAAGCGTGGACTCTTGCCCGTCCGCAACCCAATCAGCGTACCAACCAAGCAGCAATGCTGGAGAACGCCCATCGAGACCGGCCAAGCGCACAGGGTGGCATGGACAGGGGGCGGCAACCCCTTCTGCGCAGACCCCACAGCTGCAGAGCCAACGCAAGTCGAGGCGGTACGGGGACAAAGCAGCAACCCCACAGCGGCAGCAGCCGGAACCAGCCACAGCAGCAGCAAGCAGGGCAGACAGCGTGGAGCCAGCAAGCAAGCAGCAACGAACGGGAACGGCCCACCAAACACCGCCGATCAAGCCAAATGCATACATGATCCTGAGGGCGTTGCAGCTACTGGCTCAACCGACCGAAGCTCTTGGCCAACTCCGAGCTTGGACACATGGGCTCTGGGCACACCCCATCCAGCTGGTCGAGGACTCCAAAAGACACAACAGCGACGAAGGACATGGCGACGGTCCCGTGCTGCCACCGCCGCCGTTGCAGGGGACAAGCCAGGAAGCCACGAACGAGGGGACAATGGACCTGTGGCAGCCAGCGGGAACAAGGCCCAGCCCCACAGCGAAGACGACAACGGCGGACACGCACGGCACCGAGACCGAGGACGAGATGTGGTACTACCCCACAAGAAGGAGAAGCGCTACTGAGCGGAGCCGAGTGCAAGGGCGAGAGCACGCAACAGCGGGGACCCCACTGAGCCCGTCAACGAGGAGGCCCAAGCCTCGCACCGTAGACGAAGGATGCATGCAGCCATGGCAGATGATTGGCGGGTACCTTGTCCTTGTGGCCTTTGCGTGCCCTTGAGGACCTTAAGCGGGGACTTGCCACGGAAGGTTGCATGCACAAGAACGGGGAACCCACAAACATCACCAACACCACTACCACCACGGGTGAGCGTTCCCCTTATGTTCCGCTTTGCCTGAGCCCCGTGTTTCCTGACCCAGGGGCTCCCACACCCGCCACAGCACCACCACCGCCGGCGGGGGGACTCAAGCTGTGTGTTGTGTTCCTCTGGTTCCTTTCCCTGTGCTGCTTCCTAGCGAACCCGCGCCGACAACAAGTATACACTAAGCCCACAAACCGTCCGTAGAGAGGCTGAGGTAGGGTTACTGAAAAAGCTCTGGGGGACAACTGTGCAGGCACCTCTAGTTCCCAGCCACTAAGGCGTGTTGTTGGCAAGAAAACCCCGGAGCGGAGCAAAAGCCCCCTGCACAGGGGCTGTCGTTTTAACACAGTACAGAGTGGGATTCAGCACGGACGAGCCCCACTAGGCGAGCAACGGGGACAATGGGAGTTGGCCGAGGGATAGCTCGCCACAGGTGCTGAAACCCACGCAACTGTCGCCTCAACAGACAGACACAAGACCTCGGCGTAGCGCGAGAGCGCAGGGGTTGGGCTCCCCGGACCCTGCCCCAAACGTCGCGCAAGCAAGCAA